ACCACTCTAATTTTTTTTTTAAACAGTAAATATCTACCAGTCTACCAATTGAAAGTCTTATTAAAGAAAATGTTCCTCCTGAGAGTAATCAAATCTGTATTCCCTTTTAACCTGAGAAACCACATTCAAGCCAGGCATGATGCACAATTAACCTATGATTATTAAAGCAAATGTGCCTTGTTTCCTGTTAGGAGTCACATTTTCTTTAATAAAACTCTAGACAGATGTTATAAAATAAAATAAGACATATCTTGGCTGATTTACAGGCAAATAAACTAACATACTCAAGAGTGAGAGCTGGATGTGAACGGGACAAAGCCCCGTCACAAAATGACCATTATCTTCATTTACAAATGTTCCCGACGCATGAGTTCTGGTCGAAAAATAAGATAATGTTTAAAGTGTTCTATTTTTCGTCCAATAAAAAGCAGCAGCTGTCAGCAGGAAAGTGTCAGCATCAACCTGTGTGAACTACTATGAGAGATCGACCTAGATCTGAAGCCAGCTTATGAACTATACTACAAGGTAGCTGTCTCAAACCCTCATGTTCCTGTTGAAATAAATCTTGTAAATCTATTTCTGCTGTTGTCGTATTTCTTACTTGCAACCATACGCTTGTCTATAACACAGATATTAATTTTACTGCTTAAAAAACACGGATGGCTGCTCAAACATTTTTGCCAAATGAACATAATGTTTATGGTAGTAAGATAAAATCTAGGATGAAAAAATCCACTAACAGCTTAAAAATAATGGACATGTTCATGACACTTTTCAAACTTATAGTCAGCACAGTTTCTTAAGCTGTTGGATTTAGTTTTCCTCTGGTTAAGAGAGAAATAGAGAGTCAGGTTGGTAAAGTAAATAAGTAAAACTAATTTGAAAAGTCAAGTGGGTGGAAGCAGAAATGAGAAAAACAGAAAAACAACAAAACAAAACCAAGAAAATAAAGCTTAAAATGAAAGAATAGAGAAACGAAGTGATCTGTCTATTTCTGAGATGAGGTAATGTAACTATTTACACTATTTACATTGTTCAGACTGTTGTGCTCATCTTTATTGTCATATTCATGACATTTCAGCTGGTGCACACACTTGCCTTCTTCAGGTGATATTAGTATCTAACCCATGGACTAAATAATGTGTTCATTTCAAAATTCCAGGTAATATCACCTGAAGAAGGTTGGAGCATACAATGGCTGAAATATCATGAATATGGCAATAAATATGAGGTCAACAATCTGAACAATAGAAATAGTGTAAATAAACAGAGAGATATCAGGTATATACATATATTTTTTTTTAATCATTTCAACCCAAGCAAAGCGATAAAGTCACTAAGACATAAGGGGTTATGGAATGTGAAAGGAAAAGAAAAACGTCATTAAGGAGTGAGAAAAATAAAAGAAGTGGAATCAAGATGACAGTAGATAATGATTGCCATAGCATTTAAATTGTTGAAGATCAAAGTTGGTTGGAAAGCAAGACAGAAGAACAAAGAGTAAAAAGATAAAGAGAAAAGTAAATGAAAAAGAGAGTTAAGTAAAAAAAAATAAGTAAAAAGATATCTAGAAAGAGAAAGAAGAAGAAAAACAAAAGAATAATAGAGAAGGAAAAAGTGAGAAAATAATAAAATAAAGTAAAAATAGAGATGTAAAGAGAAAAATGGATGTGAAAAAAAATTATGTGGTGCTAGATAGAGAGATAAATAAATAAAAGCTGAAAATGCTATATCTGTGTTGTAACCTAGGAAAAGGTTACTGAATAAGAATAACCAAAATGAAGGTTGGAAATGGAATTATGATATTTCTAACAGGAGCAACATACAATATTCACCAGTGGTATATAGTAAGTAATCAACTGCTAGTGGTGCACTAGAAGTGAATCAAGGTGAATCCCAATAGAAAACATACAGTATATACCACTGTATTTATAAGGATTGGGACATACCCATTATAGTCCATAGATACGGTATAACAATCTGTTATTTTTCTGTTGACATTAGATTAAGTTCCACCTGCTTAAAATATTTCTGATCCACCTTCGGTAAACAGCCACAAGCATAAAGCATATGGAGGAAGAGTGAGTACAGCTTACATTTATAGAAATCCTCATAATGAAGCCAGTAATTACCTTAAATGCTTGGTGTGTGAATCAATTATGCATTTCAAAAAGGATTGTCTGTAGTAGAATGGAAAAGAAAGAAGCATTTCTTTGAGCTGAGAGTCTTCTATGTGGAACCGAAAAAGCTGTCATTTCAGGTGAATTGCAGGAGATGTATTTGGCTTCATTACCAACAAGCAAAAGAAAGAAGTTAACTTCTACTATGTGGAAAACCATTCAAGTTTGGTGCATGAGGCAAAATACAATTGGATGAAGGAATGGGGATTCCTTGTATTACTGATGGTCAAAAGATAATCCTAAGAACATAAGTAGTGACAGCAATATTCCTCTACTGCTAAGCAAACCAGATATGAAAAGAATGGGATTCAAATTAAACATAGAGAATGACACATTGGAAGTTAATGGAAGACCTCTTGAATTGGATACAACATCCTCTGGACATTACTATATACCACGGAAAGAATGTGAAGTAAAAATTGAGAAAGTGCACATGGGGGCTAATGCAAGGAAAAGAAAATTATGATCCATAAACTACATTACCGTTTTGCACATCCTTCAACTAAAAACCAGAAAGCTATCATAAAAATGCTGATGCACTTGAAGAATGTGAAAAGTTAATTGAATATATTAGCAATAAGTGTGAAGTTTGTAAGAGTGATTATAGATAATGTTGCAATTGAGTGGACAGCTGCTGGTTTTGGAACTACAAAGAAATTTCTAGTTGACATTGGTAGTGAATTTGATAATACAGAATATAGAGAGCTGGCTGAACAATTTAATGTATAGATTTATGCCACTGCTGCATACTGACTATGATCAAATGGTGTATTTAATAGAAACCACTATGTCATAGATGTGTGCATACAGAAAATGATGGAGGGTATTCCCAAAATGGAAATAAACATTGCTTTTGCCTGGGCAGTGAACGCAAAAAGAAAAGGAGATCATGTATTTTACAAGAGAGATGATAACAACAGATGGCATGGTCCACGTAAAGTTATTGGCCAATACGGAAAAGTTGTTTTCATCAGGCACAGAAGTCAGTTAGTCTGAGTTGCAATATGTAGGGTGATTAAGGCAAATGGTACAGAATTAAAGACTGACAAAAAAGAAGTTGATGGGACTCATGGTGAAGATAAAGATATCAACCATCCTGAAGATCAGGACGTTGAGCTAATAAGTTTGGAATAATATATGTCAGAGTTATATGGCTGTTGTAGCATACCTTCAGACGATAATGGGTATGCCTCCATTTACATAAATACAGTAGTAAATACTGTATGTTGGTCTACAGTTGGAGATTCATTGTGGAATCCACTTGACTACTACTACTACATGCTGCTGGTGAATCTTGTATGTGTTATTCTTGTCCTAAGTATTATCATTCATTCATTACCAACCTTTGTGTGATTATTCTATTCAGTAACCTTCCCTAAGTTACAACTGTGGCAAAGAGGATAATCAGAGACAGGAAGAGCAAGTTTCAGAACAAAGGAAGTTCACAATACAAAATGTAAGTGAAAACATCAGATCACAGAAAATTCCTAGAGTTGATGAAATTATCAAATACTGCTTGAAAATAAGGAGTGGACTCATGCTAAAGTGATAAGTAGAAGAAGAAAATTGACAGAAAGAAACAAATATTATGTGATTGTAATGAATGAAAAACATAAAGAAATTCTAGGAGTACATTTGAATAAATTGGAATATGAAATAATGAAAAATGATAAAGAAGTTGATGCCAGTAGAAAAGAAGCCTATATGTGTGAGAGAGAGTGATCAGAATGAAGCAAATGTGATTTTTGTGTCAATTGGCAGTCCCTGGAAACTTGTAGTCATCAAGGCAAAGGAGCAGGAACTGGAAAATTGGAGTGTTGCTGATGTCTGCAAAGAGATACAGGACATGGGCCAGAAGACACTGCCAACATGCTGGGGATGGCAGAGAAGCTTTTAACTGGAGGAAAGAAACAAGTGAAAGCCAGATTGGTTGTGAGAGGTTTCAAAAAAGAAGTTGAACTGAACCCAAGGATACATGGCCCAGTGGATGAAAGCGTTGGCTGAGTAATCCAAAAAGTGATTGACCCAAAGAGATTTGAGTTCAATACCAGGCCACAGTAGAGGGAACAAAACTTGGAGAATTGAGTTACTAAAGGGAATTAACTGATATTATGATATCTAAAAAAAGGCGTGGCACATGGAATTCTAACAATCTACCCCACCTGGACTAAATAAAGGATTCAGTTTGAAATTCCAATGTATACCATCTAGAGAAGATTGGAGCGTACAATGGCTGAAATGTTGTGAATATGACAATAAAGATGAGGACAACAGTCTGAACAATGTAAATTGTGTAAATATATATTTTACATTTATTAAGAACTTTCAGTCTGAAAAGATGAATATAGCAATATTCACAAAATAAATTATAACTGAAATGGATCTTTAAGGTTTTTTTTCTTGATTTATATATATATATATATATAGAAAGAGAGAGAGAGAGACAGAAGGAATGTGAGAACATGAAGAGAAAGAAAAAAGTTGATTACAAGAGATTGATGGAAAGAATGTTGGAAGAAGAAATTCAAAAGACAAAAAAACAAAAAGCAAAATAGCAATAATAAAACAATCAAAAGATAAAGAAAGGATTAAAAAGCAAAAAGAAAGAAAAAGAAAACAGAAGAAAAGTAAAGGAAAGAAAAAAGTAAAAGAAAAGCAGAAAAAGAAAAAAAATCAGACTTACAAGATAAATTAAAAGAAAAAAGAAACAAAAAAAAGGAATTATCCTTTTTTGTTTCTTTTTATTTTAATCTAAGAGAGAAGAGTTAAGAGAGATTAAAAAAAGAAAGAAGAATGAAAGAACTGAGTGCTATCACTTACAGGTGGATTGGTGTCAACTGTATAATTTCGATAAGCTTCTTCTGCTGCTGATGCCAAGTTCTATAAAATACAAAAAAGAAAAAAAAAAGGAGTTAATAAACAGTTAATCCAGGATACAAGCCTGAAATAAGAACCACAAATAAAAAAGAAGTAACAAGAATACAAACCAGAATAAAATATGAGAATCTATATTTCATGCAAAGAAGCCTGAAATTTAAAAGGGCATCAGAATTATGCAGAGTCATAATATTCATAGCCAGCATTGATATATAATAAGCTTTAATTAAGACATTTTATCAACAGAAAACACAGGTTTTGTATATCTAAACTTGGTGCACAGAATTGCAATCTGAGGATGAGTTTATCAGCTACTTACAGATACCTTCAAATAAATTACAACAAAATGTAATAAAAAAATAACTGAATAAATATTTCCTTTGTCATTTTAATTAGCCCCTATTCATTTGATATATAGATTTGTATATTGCTCACTTCTACAAATACATGTTCAATTCATTCAAAGATGTTTAAATTATCATCTGTCAGTACCTAGATGGGTGAGTGCTTGGAAATACCAAGTACTGGATGTATGGATGGTGTAAAAGTGCTTACAGACATATCATGTTGAAACACTGGTCCTCGTACGACCACTAAAGTTAAGCAATGTTGAGCCTGGTCAGTACCTAGATGGGTGATGGGTGCATGGCAGTACAAGGTTATGTAAGTTTGGATGTTTGGATGCTGTAAAAGGGCTTGCAGTCATATCATATTGAAACACCAGTCCTCGTACAATCACTGAAGTTAAGCAACATTGAGCCTTGTCAGTACCTAGATGGGTGACTGCTTGGAAACACTAGGTGCTGTAAGCTTGGATGATATAAAAGGGCTTACAGACATATCATGTTGAAACACCGGTCCTCGTACGACCACTAAAATTAAGCAACGTTGGGCCTGGTCAGTACCTATATGGGTGACCGCTTGGAAATACCAGGTGCTGTAAGCTTGGATGTATGGATGGTGTAATGCATAATAGCTTGGAATTGTTAATTGGAAAGCTGAGTTGCAATTCCCTTTGGGTTCATTATATTCACTTATGCACAAATACCCTTGTGAAATGTATGAATCCACTTCTTTCTCCCAGATATGGGTTAATTAGTAAGACTTGTATCACTAAAAAAATTTTCTCTAAAAAATTTTTTACAATCTAAAATTATTTTCTGGCTTCAAATAAAGGGTTGATAAGTCATAGAAAATGAATTATTAATCAAGAAATAAAAAATTATCTGTATACAATCATTTTCCTGGATCATCTTCTATATACCATGACCCTTCAGAATGTAGGCAATCATGGCACTCCACAATTTCCTGTCCTTCATAGATCTTAATAAATTTTGTCATTTTTTTATCTCTCCTAAACCCTGTTCAGCTATCCATTTACTCAAGCTCTTTCAGTAGGTTATGTACTTTTTCCTCTGTCCTTCTTCAATCTATCCTGTGAGTATCAAATTGTCCAAGTCCTCTTTCCTCATTATGTACTTTAGAAATTTCAACTGTCTCTTCCTGATGTTAAGTATAAGTTTCCTTTTTGTTTCCATTGTCTAAAAATTTGTCACTGCTCATATGTTTGAACCATGGTATCTACAGCATCCTTCTGTAGAGCCACATTTCTGTTGCTTCAAGTCTCTTCCCCATCCCCAAGGTGACTGTTCTTCTATATGGCAGTGAATACTGGACAGACACAACATTTTAAAATACATTTTCTCCTTACCAAAGGAATATGAAGGGAATGAAAATGATTTGATGCCACCTACATGGCATGGAGAGTCATTGATGTGAAGACCTGAACTAATGGAAATAAGGAATATAACCTTTCTGAAAATCTGTTATGAAAATAGCGATAGAGTTTAGTAATGTTTTGTCTGTGGGAAAGGTGTTGTTGGCTGGAAAATTATTTCTCCACAAGGCTGCCTAAATGTTTTTGAACTCTGTCAAGGCTGTACAGTGAAGAGTGAGCAGCTCCAGTCCAAATATGGCAGCAGTACTCCAATTTTTGACCTGAAGATGTATTAGAATGGCCAAAGATGCATTCTAAAAGCTAAGCAGTGTATTACAATACAGGAAGATTTCATTGGTAACAAAGAAAAGAGTACTGAACTGCTATGTGATATCTGTTCTCTTTTATGGCAGTGAATGTTGGATGGTCTTCTCAAAGATGAAGAAAAGACTCGATGCAACGGAAGTATGGTTCTACAGAAGGATGCTCAGGATACAATGGACCGAACATGTAAGCAATGATGGGGTTTTTGGAGAGAATGCAAACAAGGAAAAAGCTTATACTTAATATCAGCAAGTGGCAGCTGAAATTTCTGGGACATATAATGAAAAAGGAGGGCTTGGCGAATTTGATGCTCACAGTGTGGATAGAGGGAGAGAGAGACAAGGGAAAGCAATGTGTGACATACCTAGCAGGCTTAAGCAAGTGGATAAGGGAACAGGGTTTGGGAGAAGTAGCAAAAAGCCAAAACATGTTGAGAGCTACAAGGGATAGGGAAAAGTGGAGAGCCATGATCGCCTACATCCTGAAGGGACACAGAACATAAAAAAAGAAGAAAGAGCATGGCATAAAGAGTTCAGTTAAAATAAAATGGCTTTGTTCTTTGAAGAAATTCATCCCTTGTTTAATATCACATTTCTTCTACAAATAAAAATTTTGAAAAAGTGAGAGCTTACAACCATAGTATTACATGGCATAGATGAACTTATCTTATGAACTTAAATCTTATAAAAAGTGTAATTTATATTGTATGTACAGGAAAATTTCTTGGCCATTTGCTATCATGCTTGATAGATAACTGCCACTTAAAATACAATTATATAGTCGAGGAATTATTGCATGTCTATATATCCACTTTATATTGACTATGAATGGCAGAAATCCAAATTCACAATATAAATCTATTATCTTGAGGAGTTAATCCTTTCACAGCAGGCCCAGACAAGGGAGCTATCTATAATTGTCAATAATTTTAGTAATGGTTCATGCTTTTTTTGTTTAATGTGGTTCCCTAGTGAGTATCTAATGCACTGCACCCAAACAGGGTTGGAAAGTATGGGAAAATGGGGATGTATCATTGAAAGTGATGATAGTGAATTGGTCTGGTGATGCCACATGTAGCTTTTATATATTTGAAGAAGAGAGGGTTTGTTTTATGTTTGTTTGTTTTGTTTTAAATGAAAAGTAGAAATGAAAATAGAAGCAACTTCAAGAGAAAGGAAAAAATGTATTTCTTTCAAAGAAAGTGATACAATAGTGAGTCTAGAGAAAAGCATTCATCATGGAAAATTTTCAGTAGAAACACAGAGAAAGAGAGAGAGAGGAAGGAAAGAGGAAGCTGAGGACAAAATAAGTGGTGTAGTAGATACAGAAGAAAAAGAAGAAGGAACAGAAAAAAAGCCTATAAAAGAAAAATTGTGGAAAAAGATGATGATTTTACTATTAGTGATAATGGCAGTAAGAATAATACAATGAAAAAGCTTAGTACTGGCCATGGTAAGATAATGGTAATATTAGCTATTTCCTTGTAAGGAAACATTCAGAATTCATTAACTGAGTAGCTGGTGCTACTTACGATTGAAATTTATTAAGTCTTTCTCTAAGAACAATCTTACAAGAAAATAGGTTTCCCAAGTCCAGTAACTGTTATTGCTCTTTCTCATAGTATTAACGGGAACTTCATTCCTAACGTTTTGTTTGAAGTAGTGTGGAAATTTAACATTTTGATTCTATCATTTTCTCCTCCAGTTACATACATTATCTATTTTAGTTGTTGCTGATGTTGAAAGTGATATAGTTTTTGTTATCTGGTAAAGTTCTTTGTGATTCTGTAGCACCAGTCCACAAAGTTTGAAGAAGGATGGTCCTTACTCAGACTTAAATGCTTCACTCATTCAAAGACATATAGAAGTTTGTACAAATTCATGCAAATCTTACAGCAGTATGAAAGGCTGTCACTGCAGCTCTGTACAATGCTTTTTATTTTATTTCCCATCATTTATGTGCAATCTCTTTATTATCTATGAGGCAACAATATTTTTATATATCAAGAACAATATTGGGAAAATTATATGATAAAGTGGAAAAAAAAGTTTACTTGTTCGGCATTTCCTCCTTCAGGATTTCATCAGATTAAATTTGTTATGTTGGTACAACTACACACATGCACAAATGAAGGTTGCTGGGGATTTTAGAATTTTTTTTATATCTAGCCAAAATCCCTTAGAATCTTTTTCTTTCCATCACTTTTGTTAGCAGGTATCCCACACTGTGATAGTAGAAAATATGCCAGGAATGGATATAAGAGCCAGGGCACAAATTTACTGTAGATGACCTTGTGATCAAGGCACTCTCTAGATATTTACGTTGTAGTGAATTATTTTCTCCTTTGATCAGACTAGCATTTTTATGTCAAAATTGTGGTCAGATGATGCTGAAAAGTTCTCAGCCTAACCTGCTTCCCAAAATCAGTATTCTGATGCTAGTTTATTAAAATACTGATTTTGGAAGCAAGACCAAGAACTTTTGAATAATCACTTTTATCTATATCTCACTTTTATAAGCCTTGCTTCTTTGTTTTTCTTTTCTTCTCTCTGTCTATCAATCTGATTTACTGTGTGTATCCAATGAAGATTTTTGAATATTTTGTTTTATTTTTAACTGTTATCTAAAAAAATATTCCTATTCAAAAAGTAATTCATCAAAACACAGAAAATATTTAGTCTATTTATAATATATTCAAACTACTGGATAGAAATGATTGAATTTTAGGATATTTTTAATTTAAAAAGTGATAACAGATTGACTCGGTTTCTTGCCTTGAGTTTCATTTTATTAAAACTATTTTCATTTAAAGAATAGATAAAACATCATTTTAAATTGGGATTCCGTACAAAAAGACATAGAAAATAGTGAACTTTTTAACTTCAGAATATATTTTAAATAAATGGCCAGAAGTATTGCTTGTGGGCCAACCTTCTTTTATGTAAGTTAAAATTTCAGAAATTAAAAAGCATTTGCAGAAGGAAGAAGAACAAAAACTAAGATGAATATTAATAATAATTAGTAAATCAAAAAGATCTTATTAAATTTATGATTATTGTTTCAGGGTTCATTTTATAAATATACTCATATTGCATTATTGCATACATATGAGAGGGTGCAGAAAAGATCTTGAGCTGATGAAGAAGAGATTAAAAAATTCACCTGTTTAGTTAGATTTTGAGAAATGGGTTGGTTTGAGAACTTTTCAGCACATCTTGTACTATTTGGGATATATATGTGCATTGATCCTGATATGTCAAAAAACTGAAATACTCTAGTCCCATGGAAGTGACAGATGACATAATATAAATGAATAAACTAAGAAAAAATAACTGAGACAACATATTCTCTTGTACGTGTAGTGGAATGAGAAAAATATAACATTGTGGATTGAATGAAATATGTTTTGGATTGGAATCAACCAACAATAAAGAAAAAAGTGAGAAACGTTTTCAAATATAAAAATACAAAATATTTTTATCTTCATGTTTGTACAACTAAGTTTTTCTTAATGTATATGAGTACTAAAATTTTTACAGTCCTTGTTTGTAGCTGTTAAGATGAAAATAAATGTGTTTTCTTCATGTCTATGTGTGAGAAAAAAAGTAAAGGGAGAAAGTGAGAAAAGAGCAAATGTCACATAGCTTGGTGAGGAAGTCAAGTGAATGAGTAAAGGTATCTTTTTGAAGCTACACCTGCCATTGTGAACTGCAGTCATATGTTGCTGTATCTCACTCCTTACTGGTTTTGTCTAGAGACTTAAATACACTTCAAAGGGATCACAAAGCATGTTTTTTTTTTATTGTCCATGGGATCATGGCCCATTGGTTGAAAAATGTTAAATATTTATTTTCAAAGAATTTATCAATGTGAGAAGTTTCTAACTCAGAAGCCATTTATTTT